TCATTCACTCATCACACTGTCATCTGATACTGTCCTCTAGTAAGCCTTGCTCAGGTTGACTCTGAAGTCATTTTCACTTATGTGACTCCATATATGACACTTCACTGCACAGGTGAAGCCTGGGCCTCCTTATTACTGTTCTTTGAGGGACAAAGCAGACCGCTCTTGCCCATTCCTGCAGTCTGTCCGTGTCACTGGGTTCAGGAATCAGGTGTATCACCCCATCTACACTGGGAAAATGAGACGAAGAAGTACCAGCCTCAGTAAGTCACAGATCATGGAAGAGCCCAGGTGGTTGGTGGAACGTCAGGGATGATCTTGGTTTTTTCCTCCAGAACAGGGTCCTGAGCATGGATGGAAGTAAATCCTGTATGTAAGGTCCCCAACTCACAGAAGAGTTGATTGGAGGAACTTTGTAAAAACTGGGGTACCTGGACCCAACCATCACAAGCCTGTGTAGAAGACTTTTCTTGCATTAGCTGTGACCCTTTGAAAGTGAGCAAAGTCGGCTGTGGTTTAACTGTTCTCATTTCTTTGTGACACCCCAGCTACCCCTTGCACCTCAACCGGTAGAGGCCAGTTTGACTTTGAGCATTTTCCACGAATCAACCACATTTGACAGAGCGCGTAAACAGAAAAGCCCTGAGAAAATGAAACCCCATCAGCCACACCAGCGCCCTCCTGCTGTCACTCAGACCGTCACCCCATCCCACGGCCCTTCCTTCTCTGCACCTCCCCGGGCCAGGGCAGCCCAGGGCGAGTTGGGGCGGGGAGTTACTGAGAAGTTGGAAACCACAGGAAACACTGCCCAGCAGGGCCCTAGCTATGGAATCAGCTGCAAAAGCTCAGTGATTTGCAAGTTTCCCTTCTTGCCTTCTGTGCTTTCTCAATGCAGAAATAGTTCCAAATCTATAAGAGCAGGGCCACGTATTTGGGCTGAAGAAGCTTAATCAAATTCATGCAAATCAAGGAGTTGATCTAAGTTAGATTTCATCTTTCTTGTATCTGGTTGCTCTTATTTTCTTTTCCAAAGGGAATTTCTACTTCCTTTCTCAAAGAACCTGCTTAGCAGATACCAAAGTTGATGAAAAACAATCAAAAAAGAAATTTCCAATTTTAAATGATACATTGGCTTATGTTTGGCACGTAAATGGTTTTACTTTAAAAGGTGTCACTAGAGAAAATAGAAAAACATATGATCTTTTCCCCACCCATGTATCATGCATCACACATTTTATGCCTGTGCCTATAGAAATACAAGACATACAATTAAATGAACATCATAATTGTTAGTATTATTTCTCTAGAAAAAGTGATCAAAGGACATGAATAAATACTGCACAGGAAAAAAAATATAGTTTTTGCCTATATGAAAAGACTTTGGTCCTCGCTTGTCAAAGAAAATCAAATTTAAACTACAATGAGATGTTACTTTTCACCAGGATGAGCAAAATCCTGACCTTTGACATCACTGTCCTGACATTCACCTACTTTGTGGTACAAATACAGACCTGGCCCGTGTGTATCCTGGCACTGCTCCCTGCCTAACCTTAGATGTCTTTCCCAGTATCTCCGGGACCTAGTCTTTCCATCAGTGAAATGAACATTATACTTGAAGCAAACAAATTGCCTACAGAATTCTTGATGCTTACTAAGTGGTCAGTACATGCTGCCATTCGAATAAAAAAAAAGAGAGAGAGATAGAGCAAAAAAAGAAAATTAGCCTAACAGAACATACAGAGATCATACAATTAGACAAGTTTTCATGGCTAACAGAAATGTGGAATTTCTAGCCTTTTGACTGAATTAGCTCATCTTGGTGTAGTCCCTCTGGTTATCTCTTATTACTCATGATGATTTCTAGTTGACAGTTATATAGGACTTTGCTTTTTAAAAAAGGGGAAATCAAGTATTACTTACCTGTTGCCTGCTTGATTGACAGAAAGTTTGCAAAGCATGAAGTCAAAGAGAGAAAGAATTCTGAAACAGTAGAGAATACATAATGGGAAAACTTTGAGAATTATTGTCTGAAGTTTCCCTTTTTACTGTTGAGAAGTGATGGACCACTCTAGCTCTATAAAATCTGTTGGGCCTTGAGTCTATTGATATGGAATTACGCAAATGTTTGCTTAACTTTTCTATCGCTCACCTGTGGATGTAGCCTGTTGCTCTAATATTTATTTTATTGAACCAAGTCTCTTGAACTTTAGTTGCAGAAATCCTGTTAGTAGGTGGGAGGGCTGGTATTTAACCTCTTCTCAACCTAGGAAATATGGACAGGGGAAGAGGCAGTTGTCTTCATCACCTCTTAGCCTGATAACAAAATTTTCCTGTTTTAATTGAAAATAAAAGTAATTAGTTTCTATTTTAACAGCAGCTACTGTAGAAGGAAAGAACAGAGGTCCAGTAACCAAACTGCTGGTGTTTAAATCCCAAATCTCTTTCTTATTAGCTGTTCCCCTCTGCAGACACCTCTTACCTTTTCTCTGCCTCAGTGTCCCCAATTATAGAAAAGATCAAAATTCTCATGAGAATTAAATAACAGATACCTAGACCAGCCCCAGAAAGCACTATTCCAGCATTTGCTATTACTGCTTCATTAAGATATTAGTCATTAAATTTATAAATTGCTCTGGAAATTTGAAATTATTTAGCTTGAACACTTTCTTCAAAAGATGGATAAACTAGGCAACATCACATGGTCAAGGAGACGTGACACAGCTGGTTAAAATAGACTGAGTAGCCAAGGTGCTAACTATGGGGTGTGAGGTGGAAACTCTGGCCCAGCGTTCCTTCCCCCATACCATGGGGCAGTCATGCTGTGGTGAAAAAGGACTGGACCAAAAGGATGTACGCCTTCCTCCCACCTCGGAAATGCACCTGGATACACAAGAGGCTTCCGCAGGGAGATTCTGAGGACCTCAGGGCCCGTTGAGTCTAAAGGAGGAGGTGGGGTGTCAGGATGCTCAGAGTACCATCCACTGTCCAAATTTGCTGGCATGTTGAGTGCAGCACTTTCACAGCATCATCTAGATTAGTAACTGCAAATTTGGAAAACTCAGCAGTGGCCACAGGACTGTAAAAGGTCAGCTTTCATTGCAATCCCAAAGAGTGCTCAAACTACCACACAGTTGCACTCATCTCACACGCTAGTAAAGTAATGCTCAAAATTCTCCAAGCCAGGCTTCAGCAATACATGAACCGTGAACTTCCAGATGTTCAAGCTGGTTTTAGAAAAGGCAGAGGAACCAGAGATCAAATTGCCAACATCCGCTGGATCATCGAAAAAGCAAGAGAGTTCCAGAAAAACATCTATTTCTGCTTTATTGACTATGCCAAAGCCTTTGACTGTGTGGATCACAATAAACTGTGGAAAATTCTGAAAGAGATGGGAATACCAGACCACCTGACCTGCCTCTTGAGAAACCTGTATGCAGGTCAGGAAGCAACAGTTAGAACTGGACATGGAACAACAGACTGGTTCCAAATAGGAAAAGGAGTACGTCAAGGCTGTACACTGTCACCCTGCTTATTTAACTTATATGTAGGAGATAAGTCCTGGGTGTTCATTGGAAGGACTGATGCTGAAGCTGAAACTCCAATACCTTGGCCACCTGATGCGAAGAACTGACTAATTTGAAAAGACCCTGATGCTGGGAAAGATTGAAGGCAGGAGGAGAAGGGGATGACAGAGGATGAGATGGCTGGATGGCATCACCGACTCTATGGGCATGAGTTTTAGTAAACTCTGGGAGTTTGTGATGGACAGGGAGGCCTGGCATGCTGCGATTCATGAGGTCACAAAGAATTGGACACGACTGAGTGACTGAACTGAACTGAACTGAACTGAATCTAGATACACTCCCAGAGTAAGGCAAGATTTCCATAGTGTTGATAACAAGGGGAGTAGCTACGGTGATTCCAGAGAATATACATGAGGAAAAGGCAGATGCACCCACAAGTCCTTAAGAAAATTCTCACTGACTCCTTGAAGAATGTCTTTAGTAAAGAAGCAGCCTGTGTCTAGTTTTGTTTTGATTTGCTTTGTTTTGTTTTCCCAGTTGAAAGTGAGTGCTGGGGACTCAAAAACATACAAGGTAACAAAATATAGGACCTGAGAACAAAGAGACCTGACTTTAAATGAGTGTTACTAACAAAATAGTGGTGAAGAGCAGATAACTTTATTTCTCTTATCTGTAAAGTGTGGGCTATAGCTACACCTTCCTCCAAGGACTCTTGGAGGATTAATGGAATTACCTGGTGAATAATAGAAAATGAGTCCCTCTTCCATCCACATCCAACTTGTGTGCAGGGAAATGAGATTAGAGATGATGCGTGATGATCCTGTGTATGTGTAGAATCTATCAATACTGTTTCTGCAGCAGAGCTGCCAGCACTAGATGCTAATGTTGTTGAGGACTTGCATGAACCCAACATCGTTAACGCATGTTCTTCATGCTCATGAAGACAGGACTCTGTAACTTCATTACCCAGAAGAGGAAATGAAGGTGCAGCATTCACATTGCTTCCTGAGGTCACACAGATGCCAATAGAGACTCGGGGTTCAAACCCAGGCACTCGGGGGTGGGGGGAGGTCAGAGTCTGTGTGCTTCACCCTCCACCCGATGCCCCTCTGGTGCTAGAGCAATTCTCATGGGGTTAATGTGAGGATCAGGAGGCAGTGCTTGTGAGACACTGGTACAATCTGAACATGCACAGTTCAAGGCATGATGGGTGTCACCCTGTCACCATCAGAACATCCCAAACCAATGAGTCTGAATCTGGTGACTTTGAAAGAGAAGGAGCCCAGTATTTTCATTTGGCTATGGTTCCTCTTGGGGTCAGCACCCCAAAGGAAGCACCATAACCACCATCTCAGGGAAAGACTTAGAAATGTGCTGTTGATCATTATTACAACCAGTGCTGAATTTAATAGCTCAGTCATCATGCTGTTCTTAGCTTGGTTAGATTTCATAAAAGTACACACAGACAAAAGTGGCTATTGATTTCTCTTTTTAATTATTATGCCTATTATGAAAAAGAAAGTACAGAATTCAAGTAGCTAAGCTGGCAGTCCCAGAATGTGTGGCAGGGAGGGTCGGGGTGATGGTCTGCGGGGTGGTGCTGAGGGAAGAGATGGGGAGCTGCCCACTGTGTGCAGGTACAAGGACTTGGAGGCTGGAGGAGCTGAGGAGGTTGTAGGGACAGGGTGGGGAGAGGATCCCCTGGACCAGTCCTGGGCACTTTCCCTGAATAATGGCAGAATTCCTTGTTAAAGAGGAAAACTGTTTGCCCAGTGGCTTGAAAAACCAGTGTACAATAATAGAAAAAGGTACCCATTATGTAGATGATGAAGGAGAGTTGACCGTTTTAGGGCACCATCTATCAGAAAATCTTCCAATCGCTGAAGATGTCTGTTCTCCTAAACACACAGAAGGCGATGATGGAGAAGTAGATCACGCTCTTGAGGAGGAGGAGGAGGTAGGTATAATAGGCAGAGGTGTTCGCAAACTGCAGCTGCAGGGTATCTAAGAGAAGTCCTTTGATTAGTTAGGCCTTGTCTTTCAAAAGGATAAAAAAAAGTGATGGGGAAACATGTCCTAGTTTGGAGAGTCTGAGCCATTTTATGTTGCGCCTCAATGAGATTCCTCTAAGGGGTACAAACCAGGGAAATCTGTTGGTGTTTATGGTGGGGGGTGGGGGGTGGCTAGTAAAGAGAACATTGTACAAAATGGAATAAACTGTTTAATCCAAACTCTCTGAAACTTTAGGAGCTCATGCTTCAGTCACCTGTATTTTCTTTAACATCTCTCATTGTGACTAAGATGCCATAGAATAATTGCACTTATCTCTTCTGAAATCTTGCAAGATATATAAGATGCCAAGAAAAAATAACAACAATGATGATGGGTCTGACTTGTCCTCAATAGATCACCAGGTCTCTTCGTATGAAAATGTTCCTTTTCCATTCTTCATCTCATAAAGTCAGAACTCCAGAATCACTAGCACTCGCTGTGGGAAGGATCTCAGGAAGCGATGTGTTCATAACTCACTGCCTTCAGGCAAGATCAGGCGTTAGCTGAGTTCTGGGCCCCCTGATACTGGGAATGGAGGAGGGATAAGTAGAGCCAGAACTTCTAAATTCACCTAGAACCTTCATGTAGAGAGAAGGAGCCACCCACTAGTACTGATTTCTGTGCTAGCTAAATGGAAACCCTATACGGGGCATTCCACATACGTGAACTTATCTCCCAATTAACTGAGTTGAGTGCAATCGTACCCTGTTGGCAGTTAAGGAAACTACTGTACAGAAGATATAAGTAATTTACCCATATTCATGCAATAACAAAACAACTGGTGTTAAAGTCCATCTGTGATACTCAGAAGCCCATGCACTTAAACACATACCGCACCTTGCCCTGCACCCTGAGAGGGTCCATTCTATCTCAAAACCTTGGCTTTGGGATTCTTGCTCTATGCCTGTATCTTAGAGGTGGAATAGAGAACTGAGTGTGTGGGTCATTGATTCAGATGTGCTGGGCTGAATTCCCAGATGGAGCCATGTGACTTCGTATAAGGGACTTAATTACTCTCAGCTCTTTGGCCTCATCTGTAAAGTGAGGAGAAAATGTTGTACCGCATCAGGGGAGTGTTAGGAGGAGCAAACATAATATTTAGGCAAGACATGGGATAGCACCTTGTATATATAAAGCTCTCAGTAAGTGTCAGTTCATGTATTAGCTACTAGCAATCACCAAAGACAAAAAAAAAAAAACCTACAAGAAACTTGATATCATATTTCCCCAGTTATTAGAAACACAAGTCACACAAATGAAGGAAATCCACTGTTGAGATAATTCAGAGTCTATCACTGCACCCTCTAATTCAGAATCATCTCACATCAAAACCAGCATTTACAGTGTTAAGATAACTCCTAGGAAATGATAATAGATTTACTTAAAAAATCACTCAGTCCATTTCTGCAATATTCAGACATTCTGGTTCTTCCACCTTAAACCAAAGAAGTTCAATAATTAAATTTTTCCAGAGGAAGAAAATGTGGCAGTGTGACATAAAGGCAAGCATAGACAAACTTACCACTTTCTTTTTTCATGCAGGCATGCTTAGCGACCTCTACAAAATAAAAGCAAGTATTAGTGAATTGTTTATATCCATTATTTGACAGTGTGTGTCTCTGTGTGTGTCTGTAGATAGACAGACAGGCTGATAGATTCTTCCAAGGGAGGAGAAAATCATTAAAAATAAGAGCCCTACAAATTTAAGAACAGATGGTCTGATTTGACGTAATTCAGTAGAGCTAACTCATATGTGGTTTTCTGTATGTGACAGTGTTGAAGTTCATGAAGGGGACATTTTTCTTCTCCTTTGTTACAATCAGAAGGTGATATTAATATCTAAGGACATCTTTCCTGGTGGCTCAGATAGTAAAGAATCTGCTTGCAATGCAGGAGACCTGGTTTTAAACCGTGGGTTGGGAAGATCCCCTGGAGAAGGAAATGGCAACATACGTCAGTATTCTTGGCAACACAGTCCAGTATCCTGGAGAATTCAATGGACAGAGGAACCTGGTGGGCTACAGTCCATGGGGTCCCAAGGAGTCAGACATGACTGAAGGACTAACACTTTCACTTTCAAGACCATCTTATTTTCCTTCTGTATTCATAGCTTCTAACACAGTGTCTGTCCCAAAGTAAGTGTTCAAGAAATACTGTCAAAAAGACAAATCATCAGCAAAAGTGACTGTTCTACTGTAGTAAGCACCCACTGCTCACGTGAAGGGATGCTCTCAAAAGGAATGCATCCAATCCTAGAATCCACAACAGAATCTCACATTTGAAGGAGTTTGGCTTAGGTAAATTTCACACCTAGTCAAAAAAAACAGCCAAGCCTTTCCAAGCCACACATACTCCAGTACTCCCAATTCACATATGTGATTTTCTGCTGTCATGGAATTTATGGATATTAGGATAACAATATAATGCCTGGAAGATTTCCTAGATAAGAGAATGGCTACCCACTCCATTATTCTTGCCTGGGAAATCCCATGGACAGAGCAACCTGGTGGGTTACAGTCAGTGGGGTCACATAAGGTCACTCAGACACAACTGAGTGAGTGACTGACTAACTAATGGCTAGTGAGTGATTATTACTGTGACAGACATTTAATGAAATACTTCACATGCATTATCTCCTTTCATTCCCCAGTGACACTGTGAGTCATGTTGGGGAGGTATTCAGTGTCACAAAAGGGGAATAAAAGTTAGAGGATAAGTCATATCAGTGATAACAGAGTACAGTCAAATGTTGGTTGCGGGGGATTAAATGAGATAAACCGTGTGAAAGGTACTTGTAAAAATAATCCATCGAAATACAGAGAAATTAATCTCTAAAGAGACCGTATAATTTCACCATGTTAGTCACTCAGTGATGGACATCAAAAACACCTTTTCCAGAGTTCTTAATTATTCTTAACAAATGAAATACTTATCATAGGAGCTCAGCATTTCAGTGCAATTCTTTCCAGAATGGCGAGAGAGACCAAATCACATTACTTGTTCTTGACAATATAAAACTTGACGTGAGAGTTGTATTTATCTAAGGTGAAAAAAGGCAAATATTCATACAGAGACAAAATTTCTTTAGAACATAATAAACTGTTGGATGGAGGGAAGCAGAGACACAGAGATTGTCTGGGTTTATCCTTTTTATCCTAGATGTGTTTTTGTCCACATGATATGGTCTGGTGTGCTGTTTTACACCCTTGAGATCTTTTTTTGGTTCACTCTAAAAAACGCATTTGGGGTACAGTGTCCCCATTTTTCAGAAGTTCACTTTTACCACTTTGCTTTTACAAAAGATCTATATAAGTACCTGTTTTCGCAAAGGAATCTGAAGAGGATTTTCAGTTTTATGAAGAAAGGCTAGAAGCAAAAGTAACATTTAGTGTTTGTTTTGCAGCCAGCCGTGATAGAGGCAGTGGGTACCCCCAGCAGCAAGGACAGCCTTGCCAAGGAATTGCACTCAGCATCTCACCATCACATTGCCACGGCTCTGAACTGTGTCCACAAGCGTCTGTGCTTTATTTTCTTTCTTCTATATATATATATAGTTTTATTTATTTATTTATTTATTTAGGCTGGACTGGGTCTTTGTTAGTGCTTGGGCTACTCCCTAGTTGCAATGTGCAGGATTCTCTCGTGGAGTGCCGGGTCTAGGACACATGGGCCCTAGAGTGGCCCCAGGCTCTAGTGCACAGGCTCAACAGTTGTGGAGCTCAGGTTTAGTTACTCTGTGATATGTGGGATCTTCCCAGACCCGGGATTGAACCCATGTCTCCTGCATTGGTAGGCAGATTCTTTACCACTGAGCCACCGGGAAAGCTCTGTGCCTTATTTTTTGTTTACTTTTTGTGCATTTGTTAGCCAGATGTGTCTTCAGATGATTGCTTCTTCATTTATGCCTTTCAGCTTAGGAAAGATTTCATAGGAACAGTCTACTTTTGGGTAGAAGCTAAACCTGTATAAACGTTGGGGTAAATCCCAAGAATGAAAATGCTAGCACACTCAAGTTAGATGTTAAAATATACTTAAGAACTGGCTTTAATAAGTCTTTAAAAACTCTTTCTTTTCCTTACAGTGAACTTATTATAATATTAATAAAGATCACTTATCACCATTCATTGATCGAGCTAAAAACAATAATGTAAAATTTTTTCCTCATAAAATCATGTGAGTATCCTAAGTTCTCTTTCTCAGTCATCGTTGGTCAAAAACATGGATCAGATTGGTTTTTATGTGCCTTTAAGATCATGTCATTGATTTGTGCTTCCATATATATTTTTATTTTTTACTAACACAACAAAAACAAAAACAAACAGAAACCTCTAAGAAACAACATCAGGAATTTAGTGTAGAATGACTTTGATAAAATGCCCTTATTAGCTATGTTGCTCTGAGAAGACCATGGGAGGAATTTATTTCAGAAATTAAGTGCCAAGTAAAATATATTATGAACTGGAACATCTCTCCTTTATGGTCATCATCACCTAGAACTTATTATTCCTATTTTCCCCTGAATATTAGGAAAATCAAAACCCAATAGGGCATTTAAGCCCAAGGTTATATTAAATTTACTTTGTATATTTGCTTCCCCTCTGTTTCTTAGGTATAGAAACAGAAATATGGGGTTGTTTCTGTAATTGTATTATATTTAGTTTTAGAATAGAATATAAATAAATACAATGAATATATGAATAAATACCACAGTATTATGTTTTGGAAAGCAAGCATTTTTCTCGGATGTTACTTCATCTGCTCTTCATCACGGCCCCAGGACAAATCCAAGGCAACCACTCAAATGTAATTTGATCATTGGACAAACTAAGGATCTGAGAAGATAGACTTACTTCAGAAATTCGGACTGCTACACAAAATCTCTGCGCAGTTTTTTTTTTTATGCTTGGTTCCCACTGCTTAAAAAGGCTTCCTAACCACAGAGAGAAGTACAAAATGATTCCTTCTTATGGACACTCTGGGGCCTTTGGTCTGTTAGGCAAATACTCAGGACATTAAGTTCCAAGTCCAGGGAATTACAGGACCACTTACAAAGCGAAGGCACTTCCAGCCCTCTGCCTGCACTGTGCGGACATGTCCTGCCTCTTCATCAAACGGACTCCTTTGGGACATCATGCCCAAATCACTAGTGACTCTGAGTGATTAGGGAACGAGTGTATTCTTTTTTGGAGAAGGAAATGGCAACCCACGCCAGTATTCTTGCCTAGAAAATTCCATGGACAGAGGAGCCTGGCGGGCTATAGTCCATGGAGTCGCAAAGAGTCAGACACAACTGAGCAACTAACACACACCTTTAACTACAAAATTTTAGCTTAAGGTAGTAGGTAAAACACAAATCTCAAAAACCGAAGACCATAATAAATAAACCTGCAGCAGTAATTATTCTACTTTTTGTTGAGCTACAATCTGAATTCCTCATAAAAACCACCATTTTGTCATTTAATAGCTCATTATTTCTGGGTTATATCTTGAGCAAAGCAAGACTGAAGTAAGAGTGACTTTACTTGCTGAGTAGAACTTTTCTGGAGGGTATATAGTTGTTCTTATTTCTGATCAAGTAAGACCATCAAAAATGGAAAATCTTTCGGTGTGTTTATTGCATGCTAACTGATAGGTACTTTGAAGTGTGTTGTTTCATTTAATCTACACAACAACACTAAAATATATCATTGAGACCTTTATATTTTAGATGATCAAACTGATCTGAGAACGGTTTACTAAATTTTTTTTCTTTTGTATGTTTCAAAGTGAAAATGAAAGTCACTAAGTCATGTCCGACTCTTTGGAATCCCATAGACTCTACAGTCCATGGAATTCTCCAAGCCAGAATACTGGAGTGGGTAGCTGTTCCCTTCTCCAGGGGATCTTCCCAATCCAGGGATCAAACCCAGGTCTCCCACAACGCAGGCAGATTCTTTAACAGCTGAGCCAGCCAATACAATTTAGTAGGACATTTAGGCTATCATTAAAGGTAACAACATTTAAGATGATTTAATACTTGTTTTCATTAATGCTTGATTGAAAAGGTGGGGTAGCTCCTTTGGAAAAAAAGTATTATTGGAGGTTATATTTCTTTATGATCTCGTACCTTTGTTAACTGAAGAAAAAAGAATCTCTTGATCACGTCCACCTTTGTTATTCTCATGTTTGACAATACATACATGTTCTTTATCCATTGCCTTTTTAGTCAAGGTCAGCCAGCTGAATTTCATGTATGTGTCATTGGTCTTGATGATATCTCCCTGTTGGGATTCCAGAATTGTATTGCCATTCTTTTCTTTCCATTGTACCTTAATAGCATCAGGGAAAAATTTCTGAAGAAGGCAAAGATGTGTTCCAGCCATATGGAGTTTTACTTCCTCAACTGAAGGGAAAAATATAGTGGGCTTGGGAAACAAGTCTCCATCAAGCCTTCTATCTGTGGGGGGAAATGGAACAGAATTGAAAAGAATTATTAGAGAAACATACATGTCATGTGGTTTGGAACAACTTAGCTTAGAGTGAAAAAGTGAAAAGCTGCCAGTGAATTAACTCTAATCATGACTTTTCATCCACAGTAGATGATGAGGTACCTATTATTGTTTTGTTTCAATGGGAAGAGATGTTCAAAAAGTTATATCACTTGCCCAAAGTCAGTTTTTCAGAAGCAGAGGCTCGCCCACATCTTGGCTTTGGTTACTTTTCCACCTGCTAAGTTGGACTATGACTTAAAAATGCCCCATATCAATGCTTGTGATATTCATAAACAAATTAATTTTCTTAAATCTCTTTTGCTCTATCATAGTGGAGACTGTTTTTAAAGGGGTGGGAGTAGGCTATGGGTTTAGGGGAGGAGACCAGGTAACTCTGATGGTTTCTCTACAGGTAAGAATCTTTAGTTGCTTCTAAACTACTTCCCTTTCCTATATCAGGTTTTGTAACTTATGGTCTCTTTGGCCAATTAATACATTCTCACATTCTGCAAATATGTTGACCCTCATTCTTCATTTAACTTGCTCTGGGATATATCATACTTATTTTAATTCCAAAATAAATAAATGTCAGGAGAGGTTATCATTTAAAACAATATACATTCACTTGTATTCATGGGAATCTATGTCCACATGTACTTAACAATATAAATTGAACTTTTAGCTTCAAATGTGGGTCCTATGCTCAGTTCTGAAGTGAAGTTCTCCTAACTGATTGACAAGTTTATACAACTTCTCAATGTCACACCAGAACCACTCTGGACTTTTGAGTGGGGCAATATTAAAGTTTCACCTCTAAATTATTTACAGTGTCTTGAATTTAGAAGCAAAACAATATTTTCAATATTTCTATTAAAATAAATTATTTTCAGAAATGTTTTTATATTTATCTTGCCAAGTAATGCAGTTATAGAATTTTGTTTTGCTTTAAAAAGTGTTCGTCAAGAACACATTTTATTTTGGAATTTCATTTGAAGTTAAAGTATAACTAAGAACACACCATATTTTGACTTCAGTGTTTCCCCTCAAATTTAAATCTACCTTGGGCTGCTAAACTGTTTACAAACTAAAATTTTTTTGTTTACACCTGCTGAATGAAGTGTATGTATAGAATTAGTGTCACATTAAAAGTTATGGCTCCCGAGTTTTCTTGTAGACATAAAGTCAAAGTATGCAACAAAACATCACAGTTTGCAAAAGGTATCACTTGGATGCTGGAATGTTCTTGATTGTATGCTTACTGTTAATATAATAATTGAAATTTGAGCTTAGAACACTTTCCAATTTGATCTTCAGCTGAACATGAATGCTTTGCTGATATTATCTTTTGGCTAACTTGCATTTAGTTTAATAATCCAAGGGGCAATTTCTTAAGAAAAGAAGCACTGGATTTCTCCTTTGAGAAGAAATGGAAAAGTATTCTTGATAATTTCTGCCTGTGTGGCAAAGGTCTTAATTTCTATACTAAATCAGTCAGCAAGCAATCTTAATTTTTTACTCATGCTGTAAATATAATTAGCTTACAATGTGCTTAATTTTATACATTTCAGTTTTAGCACAAATAATATTTGACTGATTGTAATAAGACACTAAATATTTCTCCATCTGTATATGTAATTTGTTGATCTTGATTTATGTGGTCTATTTTTTCTTGTCATATTTTTAATCAGATAAATATATTTCATTTATATTTAAATAAGAATTTCAAATTTATGACATTTCTAGCTACATCTATTTGACTTTATACCTTGACCATTCTCCATAAAAATTTAATTTTTTTTTCTGATAACTATAAGCACGAAGCCCAAATTTATGGGCTATAAATTGAGGCAATAAATTTTGGTATAGATATGATATCAATTAAGAAAAAGATTAAGATTTATTGTCTTATATGTGCATAAAGTGTTTACAGTCTACATTTATGAACAAAAATAAAAAGCAAACACATTTTAATTTCATTTTTCTTGTTAAGTGAAAACAATATCCCCTAAAGAGAAAAATAATACATCTAAATTCAATCTTTTGTGTGAGTGGACGGTAAGACAATTCTTCATTTGAGCAATTAGAAATACAACTGTATTTGCTGGAGGACATCTGTTCTGTCAATGTGATAGGCTGCAAATAACTCCATACTGGATATAATTCTCTTTGAATAGGTTGTAGTTACACTATCCAGCACCCATGATAAGTAAGTCAACTTGCAAAGTACTATATTCATACTATCTCATTCAATTCCAATAAAACCCCTGCTGGATACATATTGTTATCTCATTTACGGATTAGGAAACTAAAGCCAGAGTATCATCTCCAAGTTCATATAAGCAGTACGTGACGGATCCAGAGCTCCAGCTCAGCCAAAGCTTACACTCCTTAAAAACATCCTTTCATCATCAGAAAAGGAAATGTGTCAACTCACAAAATTTACCTGTAGTAATAAACTTTGGCCTTGGGCCAAACACCTTCATAATTACATAGTTATTAGTACTTAGTACAAGTCCACATAAACACATAGCTGATTCCTATCGCAATACGTATACATACAGTGTTGTCTCTGCTGTCCTTTACTATGCAGATTCGTTTAAAAATCCATTCCAATCTACATCTAACATCATCAAAGCCCTGTTTTCTCTAAACATTCTTAACTATTATTCCAATTTAATTTTTTCTTTTCTCTAGAAACTTGAAAAATTTGCATTCCTCTGATACCTACCTGTGACTATAAGTTTTGTCCCATCGCCAAAGACTTTTATGTCTCCACAGTGATTCAATCCATATCAAAAACTGTAGACTAATTTAGCATCCCTGATTTCTTCAAATCTTAATGTAACTATGACAGTCTGCTATTCAAGTGCATGTTTAGAGTCTGAACAAAATTTTTAATGAAATGTGCGGGCAAAAGGCATTATTTCTCAACTGTTTTTGTATTGACATAATTTTTAACTTTAAGGTGTAATTCAAATAAGAAATTAAATATTACACTTGAATATTTGACTTTTGTATGTATCCCTGAAAGCTTGTATGTTTAAGTTGCAAAAAACTCTTATTTAAAAAACACAACATTTTTTATTTCCGAACATTTCTACTACAAAATGAGAGAGCACCTTATATTCTAATATTTGAAACTATGCTTATTGTATTTAGCCACTTTTAGAAGCAGTTAATAATTAGTCATAGAAACTGAGAATTTTTAAGTACTATTTGTTTTAAACTGGCCTAAGATGAGATAGTAATTAATACATTTATCTGTACTCCTGATTTCATAAAAAATTCCAGTGAGTAATATTTTGAATTCTAGAGAAGGAATTGACTTTTTAATCACCTACCATGTCCCAACATTTATGGTAGGTAATTTTCATTTTTAATTTCGTTTTATCCTCAGAACATTAACTTGAGATGGTTGTTACATAGATGGAATGAATCAGTGGAAATATATCAAACTGTTAACAGCGATATATCTATATAAAAATTTAATTTTTTTTTTGTTTCTGTATTTTTCAATTTTTCCCCATTATGAGCATGTATTGTCTTTATAATTTTTTAAAGCAATAATCAATGAATTAAAATGTATTTGCTAAAGGATCGTCATACATAAGTGACAGATTCAGAATCAAAGTCTATGTTTTTCCTTCACTACGTGTTACTAAAAATCATTTTCCAGGACTCTCATGAGTTATAACTGGTTCACCTTCATTTAACTGGATTGCCATAATTTACATTGAATAGAGTCAGTTGCAAAAAGCAGACCAGAATGTTGCTTTCCAATTTACAAACCTCATTTGTTCTTATGATCCCAACTACTAAAGAAATCAAAATACATAATTTCTTTCACTTTTCAATGCTTTATCAACTCTGCAAAAATTTTTAAAAACTTTCATTTCCATGGATCTCGTAGGATAGGAACATCCTCAAGAGATGTTCCCCATCATCCAGGCAAACTTTTATCTTTAAGGCAAATGAGGAGGGAACAAGTTTACTGGATTGAATTTAAGGGGAAAAAAATCCATCTTAAGACATTCTTGAATATGGTCACAAAGTTAAATATCTTGAAACTTGATATTAATCATTCTCTGACTAAATAAATTAAACGATATTAGTCCAAATTTTCCTTTGGTTGTTTTCGGAATTAAATTAAAAACTATCTAAGAGCTTTGAAATTTTCCAAGACCAAATGAATCTAATGTGTCCACCACGAGGGACTCACACTTGGTCTAACTGGCTAACTCTTGTCAGTATCCTCTCTACTAGGTCAGGAAAAGAAGATACTCCAAAGACCTGGATGGAGTCACTGACCTCTCCAGACGTTCCCCGTGCCTATTCGTTACCAAACAGGGAGCAAACCTGAGAATTCTGAGCCAGCACCAACACTCAAGCTTGCAGTGCCTGTTTTGCCTACCTCCCATCCTGACCTTACTACAGAATTTAAAGAAACTTTACCTGTAACAATAAGTTGTGTTCCGGAACCAAACGCTTTGATGCTCTGGCCACCTGTTTGCGCTACCTAAAAGGCCTTTACAGAAATCTCCCTCTGTGCCTGCTCTCAAAGTGTGCCCATATCTTTTCAATATTTGTAGAAATATATAAAAATTGAACCTGCTAACATTAAATAAAGATGGCCCTCAAGCAAAAGCACATTAGGTACAAATGATCAAGAACTGAAAAACTGAACCCGCTCTTACTGGGCAGCTTGGGTTTATGTGGTCCCACTTCATCTCACATACATTGGAGAGTATGATTTCATCTTTTCTCACCATTTTGCCTAAATCTTCTAAATATCCTCCCTTTAAAGTGTTTTCATGCATAAAATCAGTTCATGCTTAGAGTATACAGTAATGTTTCTTTAATTTCCAAAGTTGAATAATAGGAATAATATATTTGAGTATTTCATAGATGTATATTTGTTACATTTTATAGACATTTTGTGATATATATATTTTAAGAGGAAAGTATCTGGGTTAATTCTAAAGTAACTTCTTTCCAGAATCTAATTCTCATCTAGTAGACAAAAAGAGTTACAGACTGTGAATTTTTAATGATGATCTCTTAAGCTATTCCTTTGCTGAAAGACTGCTCACCTCTACCTAAAAATAACCTTGTGGTTTCAAGAGCATTGAAATAAAATCCTCCACTGCTTGTCAGAGAATTTTATTCAGCCTTGTATTTCTCGAGTATTTGGTATCACATTTTCTGCACTATTTTAAAATTTTTATTTTATTTTGGAGTATAGTTGACTAACAATGTTGTGTTAGTTTCAAGTGTACTGCAAAGTGATTCTGTTATACATATACATGTATTTATTCTTTTTCAAGTTCTTTTCTCCTATAAGCTGTTACAGAATACTGTGCTATACAGTAGGTACTTGTTGGTTACCTGTTTTAAATATAGTAGTTTGTATTTGATATTTTTCATTCCCATAATGACTGGAAAGGCAGCTCTAAGTTATGCAATTTAGCAAATTTGATGCCATACAAAAAGAAATTTGAGTTGAATGGTGTCAGAATGACTTATTCCATAAAAATAAACTGAAAATCAAATCTTGAGTATTTAATAAATGTATATTCAATATGACTTACATAATCTTTTCTGGGAGGAAAGAGGTCATTTCGTTTCCTGATTAGAAGCAGAAGCATTGTTTTCATACACGAGTAATAATATAAATTATGAATTATTGCTAATTAGTAGTCAATTACAGAATCCTTTTAAAAGGTCAGAATATAAAAGATTAAATATTCAGAATATAAAAACAGGATGCTTCTCACATCACTTAATGATCCAGGCCATGTACTTAGGAATAGACTATCAGATTCCAAACTTCACCACAGTAACTAGTCATGTACTTTATTTAGGCAAGTTCCTGAACTTCTCTCAACCTCAGTTTCCCTATCTATGAAATGGGAATATGAGAATTTCTATTGAGGAAAGAGATAAGGCCCTAAGACTACTTATCATGGTGTCTGGCCTTCAGTAAACAGGAGCTGATATTATTATTCTCTTTAAAAAGGTGGTCTGCAGCCATTTCATTAAAATCTTCTAACGAAGAACATGGATTTTATATTTCTTAGCTGTGTCCAATATGGATTTTATATGCAATAATCATTTTATCCATTAAGAAAGGAAACAACCTCATCAGTTCAAGACTTCCTCCCTCTCTGGCAGCCACAGGCCATAGAACATTGGGCTCAATCATGTTGGAATCTATAATGATTTTCTGTTAATCAAGAAACTCTTTGAGTGTTGAAACTTGTTCTGTCTTGTGTCTTGTTCACCTTTTTATCACCAGCATCCAATACAGAAACTGTCCTCAATAAATGTTTGCTGAGAGAATAAGCAAATAAGGATGTCCAACCATGCAGACTCTTTTCATCAACTTTGGAGTGAGATGACTCATTAAGCTTACAAATTCCATGAAACTGGTCCATAGGCAGGCTATGTAACAAGAGATGTGACTGCATAAATTTCAACTGATCTCAGCCTCCCTCTAAGAATTTAGAGTAATAAGAAGTGGAGTAGTAAGAAGTGGGATTTATCTATCATCATTTACTATAATTTTTTTCCACTGCTGTTAAGGGTGAGCTGAAAACCAAAAATGGCCTTTTTTTAAGTTATTAGGAGAAAGAAATACTGTGTTGACTATAGAGAAGAGATAAATTAGAAAACTGTTTCTCACTTAAAAGTCCATTTATTAGAAAAGAATTTTGAACCAGTAACTTATACCAACAGATTACAGACATAGCCCTCAAAATACTTTAATTTCTACCCTGAATCTATGCTTTGTTGGTTAAAAAGTTGAATTTCTAAAAGTAGAATTCCAACTTCTTACAAGCAAGGAAGTGAATAAGTCATTTACAAGACAGTTTTGTTTCCATATACAATGACCAGTAGTTGCAAAACTCCTGTTCATATGCTGAGGCCAAGAATGTGACAGTCAAATAGGGGGAATCCTAAATTGTTTTCTTCTAAAAGGCAACTATTTTCACTATTAAGTTGAAATAGGAAAAAGTTACTTACCAGGAGGTATTACTACGAGCTTAGTTCCTTCACCAAATACCTTGATCCAGATTGAACTGTCACAATGATTGAAGCTTCTACAAAAATCTCAGCCTTCTCTTTGCTTCAATATGTGATTAGAAGTTTAAAACACTTTGTGGTGACAATTTGATCTTCTGACTTTTGAAAGTCCTTGAACATAGGTTTCATGGCATCCAATATGTATAGATTTTCCTCATATCAGTTGACCCAAAGGTCTTTCATTTTCCTCTGAGTCATAAACATTAAAAAGCACTGATAGATAATGGAAAGCGTAAAAACAGAAAGAGAAGAGTTTGGCATCAACCGACTGCTTTTCTAAATTTCCAAGAAAAGTATTCAGAGAATTAGGGCTTTCTTTTTATTTTCAGGTGTTCAGTTTTGTTGAAACTGTTCAGAGATTTCATCAAAGAGCATTTCTTCTGTTCTCACAAACCACAGGGCTGCTTCATTAGTAATTCAGGAATGTATTTCTGAAAGGCGGAAAGACTTAGGTAGCTGAAAATGCAAATATACCAACATAAATACAGTGAGCAATGTGAACAAAGTTTTTCTTTTTTCATAAAAAACACTTTCACTATTGGGTCACATGATTTTTACAAAGGCAATGTCAAATGAGAGAATTATTTCTGTGATGACTTATTATTTGTCCTGGAATAAAAGAAGAAATTTGTAGAACTCTGTCTCTTGGAAATAATAGGCTATTTATTTAAATTAAAACTTAAAAACTAAATCTAGTTCTCTGGATAAGTTGAAAGAAGTCTTGGGATGCTGCTCTGTAATGTTATATCACTTATCTTGGATTGGGGGAAAAGAAATTGCCAGAAGCTGCTGAGTGTCTCTCTGAGCACAGATGAGTTGCCCATCTCCAGGATTCAGACAGAACAGGTCCTGAGCACCCCACCTCAGGTGGATCCACCTGAGATCCACCCGGTCCTGGTCTAATCCCCTGTGAGCAATCAATTCCTCTGTCCTGAGGATGAATGTAAGAGATCATGCTGGGCAACTGTCCATTCAAAGCAGCTCACGGACCCCAACATAATGGGAGAGGATGAGAGACCTGGATGAAAATCATGTTTAGAAAGGGTTTTTAACTGAAAATTCCAAGGTATTTTTACTTGGAGCTGTCCAATAAATACCCTTTCCATCTATTGTAGGTAAGAATGATACCTGCCCACTCAATTCCTTTCTGATCCTTTTCCTCTGTTTTCCCTTATTCCAAGAAAATGAGCAGAATTATAAAGTATTTTAGGAGGTGTCTGTATTTCAAGATCCACAAAGGTAGTAAAATACAAAAGAGTAAATAAAGAGTTATAAAATCCTTTATTAAATTAGAAGAACTATATGAAGAGTATATCTTAATGAAGAAAGTAAAAGTATTAGTTGCTCAGTCATGTCCAATTCTTTGTGATTCCATGGACTGTAGCCCACCAAGGTCCTCTGTCCATAGAATTCTCCAGGCAAGAATACTGAAGTGGGTTAGCCATTCCTTTCTCCAGGACATCTTCCTGACCCAGGAATCGAACCTGGGTCTCCCAGATTGCAGGCAGATTCTTTACCATCTGAGCCATCAAGGAAGCACAATATCTTACTAAAGAGCATAAAATAAAACCTGAACAAACAGAGAAACATGTCATATTTGGAAAGGAGAAACTCAAGACGATAAAGAAGCTAATCTTTCCCCAAAGGATGTATGTAAGTTGACCACAATTCCAATCAGAATTACAGTAACATTTTATTTCTTGGTCTTTGCTGTGAAGTGTGGGGGTGGACTAGATAAGTTGATTTCAAATTCAAGTGAGAAGAATAAATATGAGATAATTGAAAAATATTTTTAAAAACAATGGTGAAGAGACATTGCACATAGTAGATTTTATCACTTATTACAAAGCTACTAAAATATAATATTTTCTATTTCAATAATAAAGAAATATATTATTTTAAAACCAATTTTGGACTATTGACTACTATGTTGGGAAAAACAAAAATAGCTTTCTACCTCATACCATATAAATGGGGTTCTAAGTAGATCAATATCAATATTTAAATGAAAAAGACTCTAGAGATGTGATCTAGAAAGAAGCAGGAGACTGCGTCTGTTGTGTGGGGAGCTTGAAAAGGGAAGAGGCATAGGAGACACCTTTACATGATACTTAATGTTTCAGAAGGAGGCACACTTGGAGAATATTCACTTTTTACATATTTTTCAAATAAACATTTTTTGAAAGGATAAATGGTGGTGACTTATTGAAGACTTTAGTGACAGGATCAGATCTGTGCTTTAGGAACATAATGTAAGAGCAGAAAGATGGATGGGTCAGCGGACCAGTCCTGAGAAAGCAGACATGTTTCAGAGACGATCACCATGAGCTACTGAGAGGCGTCTGTGGACCCAGTTATTGTAGTGACAGTGGGGATGGACAGAAGGGCTGGTGCAATAAATATTAACAGGTTCATCAGGTTTCTAAGGAATTCAAATGGGAGAAATCAAATTAATGTTAAGGAGGTTGAAAGTGAAGGAAAAGATGTTTTAAAATCAGAAAGATAGAGCTCCAATTTTAACCCCACCACTCCTGGTGACATGTCCTTGGGTACATCTCAGAGGGTCAGTTTCCTCATCTTTAAAACGGAAGTGTTACTATCTATTTCTCAGTATGTTTGTAAAGTTCATAGGAGGTAATGTGTCTAGAAGAGATGAGGCAAAATTCGGGAACAGAGAATTCACTTTCTCGCAAAGAATAGAAAAATCTTAGTGCTGCGTACAAAAATCAATAATTTTGCTTTTAACCCTGCTTCACGTTACACAGGCACACATACACACAACTCACTACATTCTGAGGTGACCAACTAAGGCACTAAAATCCTACTTTAGTATGAAGAATGAATAGAGAAATATATAAATAACAAACAAGTCAAGTGAAGTAAAGTACTAGTTTCAAAACGACCCCTTGAATTTTTGCATTGTTTTTTCAAGTATGATTGATGATTTCATAGTTGACCAAATTTATCAAATTTGGCAGATCACCAAAGTTATGAATCTCATATTATGATCATTGTTAGGATTAAGTGGTTATTTCTGTCCTGGGCTTACTGATTACCCTGCACATGTCAGCTGGAAAATAAGAATTTCTACAGTTGCCCTAAGTCATAGAGAGAAATAGCAGTTCTCTGCCTTGGATCTGAGAATTTGGGTTTGGGGCTTTGTCTTGACAGCTAATGCTATTCTCAGATAGTACATCAGAGATTCTGGCCTGGTTTGTGGTTTCCTTTCTACCAGAAGAACCCAAGTTCCCAGGGTTTCCTGCCTCCTCCTTTCAGATCTCATTCCATGGGAAACACCTAAAGAACTGCCGGGTTCCTTCATTGCTTTTTTTCTCAAGACCAAAGAAAGCCAAAGATGTGGAAGGTCAAGAAAACGCCATCTGTTTTTCACAAAATATTCTTGCATGGTATTAAAGGACACAGAGACATATGCTCTTTACTGAGACAGGAAAGTTTTGGGAAAAAACAACACAAATTGTGCAGACTGGGGTGAAGGAATGGATTGGAATCAATTTTATTCTGGCAACTTATCAGAAATCCAAGAAGAGATGTATTTAGCTGTATTGTAAGGGTATCAATTTTGTTGTTATTGCTCTTCTTTATATGATTTTCAAGTCTGGCTGGTAAGAAACGCAAAAAGCAGATCATGGCTACTAAACTTGGAACCAAGTGCATGGCCATCAAGTTAGAATTAGTCCCAGGTTTCAGACTGAAGAGCAGGAAATTTAGGACTTGGTTGGGTAGGTCCTTCTGTAAGTGATGTTTACAAAGGTATTCATGAGGAAAGCAATCTCCACATTTGATGTGTATGCCAAGGAAACTATTCTAATCTAGAATTTCAGAACAGATGGGAAGCTACAGAAATGAAGGGGAGTAAGTAGCCATAGGAAAACAGAAGGGAGGTAGACAGATCAAAGAGTCCTGACCTTTATCCTTTCTCAAGAGTGTGGCAGTCACATAATTTATCCACAAATCAGACCTGATTGGGTCCTGGGGACATCACGTATGAAGACAAGCCATTCTTGTCACAGCTCCCTTTGAGAGAAATGCAATTGTACTAAAAGGAGCTCAATGCTAAACACAAGACAGGCAGGAAAAGGCAATGCTCTGAGAGTCTGAAAAGCAGATGTGCCCTACCTCTGTGGTTAACTGGTTTTGCAAAAGCCACTCGTAATCTCTGAGCCTCAGCTTTCTTATCTGAAGTGTGGCCATTGGACTAAATTTGTCCTGAAGGCCCTTCCTGTTTGAAAAGCTATGAACCCATGATTAAGAGCCTGTGGTTGCTTGAGTGGTGGTGGGGGCAGGGGCAGATGAGGGTTAGTAATAGAGAAGGTTTTCTTCCACGTTCCTTCTGACTCTGTAATACTGTGAGATCCCAGCAGGCACAGTAGTACGTGGCTTCATCGGACTTGACAACGTTGTTGATTATCAGGTAAAAGATTCCGTTCCTTTTGCTATCCATCTCCAAGCGGGAATTAGGTTTGTCCAGCTTATAACTATTAGCTGAGCCATAAAGGATTCGTGTCAGGGGTTCCCCTTCTTTCTCTTGATACCAGTGCACAATGGCATTCTCCAGGGGAACCCCTGACAGCTTGCATCTTATGTGCACTGTTCTGTCTGGTCTTCGGGTAGAGGAGAGTTGCTGCTGAGAAATTTTCATTTTGATGTCTCCATCTGAAAAGCAAGGGAGGTAATCAGAGGCACTTAAAAAGGCTGACGCTGGACACAAAAACAATGAAAAGAAAGGGGAGAGGATAGAAGTCAACCTACAAACCCAAGCCAAAGACAGGAGGAAAATCCACATGGTTGGCATTGCAGTAATTGGTAAGAATAGGGTGTGAATCAGGACAGGATGGGAGATGCAGTGGCAGCACTTATTCTGTGGAGGCAGGGATGTGGGAGGAAGCTTTGCTTTAGAACCAATGAAAGTCTTTCTCAGATCTGTCACAGTGTTATTTTTTATCATCTTACTGGTATAAAAGAGCTTTCAGACTCCCAACAACCTCATCAAAAA